ACCGACGTGCAGACCTAAGTTTCGATTAGGTTTCGGAACTCTGACAGTCTCTGAGTTCTTGACAAGTCAATAACTCTAATTTCATTGACTATCATGAGTTCACCTTGGTTCTTTGGACTTGTTCCAGACTGACTTTTATGTCCAACATACTTACATGAATCCTAGAGCGATATATTTCGATTTCTCCGTATTCATGTTGTTTCTTTGAAACTCTTGTTCTGGAATCTTGTAGTATTGATGTATTCTAGATCTCGGGGCAACGTTCCACTTCTGGAACCGCAGGTCAAGTTCCTAATTGGAACTTAACTTGCTGTCTTCAAGTTCTTGTTAGGGAACTTAGATAGTTCTTATTAGAGAACTAAGTTCCTGTTAAGGAACTCTTCATGTACCTGTTAGGGAACATGGAACTCTTCATGTACCTATTAGGGAACATGCTCTGGCTTTCGTGGGAAAGCCTGCCGAAAGTTCCTTCTGGATCTTGTTAGAGAATACCTTCAGGTTCCTTCGTGGTTTGGTTCTCATAGAGAACCTGCTTTAGGTTAATTAATTCTCTCTTGTTTCTCTTGAAGTCTTCTATGTTCCAACCCATTAACTTCACCTAAGTCAGTTCCTGTCTTCACATAAACACTTAAGAGAAACATTAGATTGAAGTTTGTTTGTCATAAACAAACTTCAAGTGAGATAACTACTTAAACTGAAAGCTTATGTAAATACTCCTACACATATGCAACTCATGTATGCATAGTGTACTTACCTCAAGAAGCTAACATATGCAAACACCTATTTACATAGTTACCTTCATGGTTCTTTAGCCATCATCATTCTTATCAACCATGACACTCACCATTGTTCTTGTTTCTCTATTGCTTATCATATATTGCTCAGATTCCTTATATTACGTGGCATTGTTGAGGTTCTTGTATCCTGTTCCAAGCATAACTTGTTCTTTCTATGCATAACTTAACAAACACGTTAGATAGATAATCATCATTAGTTTACAATCATCAAAACCTAATTACTCAACACATGCGCTTGTTATAATGAGTAATTTTAGTTTTTGTACTAAGCATATTTCGTAAATTTATTCCCTTGTATGGCTGGATGCCAAAATTTACTTGGTTTTTCATCGTCGAGCTCAATTTAATTGCTTACTTTGTATAAACGAGTATATCATATTATTATTTCATTAAAAATAAGTTTAAATCAGATCAAATTATTATTTTATACGCAATTTTTACCGCTAAATATCATTAATTTTGTAATGAAATTTTTTATGAAAATCACATATTAACAAAGTACACAATATTACGAATCTAACAAGACCCCACTTGATATTTTTTTCCGTATAGATTATCGTAAATTTAAAGTCTAAGTTTGGTCAGATCTGACATTCAAATCAGATCAGATCAGACTAAATCAGATCAAGCCAAATCAAACTAGATGAGCAAAAATAAGGTGAACCAAACAAGGTCATGCCCGTACACAAGCTAAGGTATAACTTTTGACAGGAACATGAGTTTTTTGTGTGATGCACTTCATGCCAATATATTGATAGCTCAAAGTGATTAGTATCTCCAGGCGCCCAGACCACAACACATTATTGTAATTAAGTGACTCCATATGTGTTTTAATTTACAAGTAACGTCTAGGAACTTAGGAAGTCTTGAACATTATTGGGCCTTACGCAATTTTAGATAAGGTAAAGTTTTGGGTGAGACGGACTCACGTGAGTCCACCATCTTCATTCTCCTTCTTCTCCTTTCTCTGTTCTTCCTCATCAATGGCGGCCAGATCCTCCACCACTCTCCGCCTCCTCCCAACTTGACGGCGATGAAGCTCCTCCAACTCCCCCGTAAATCTACTCTCTCTCCTCCTGAACCTCAATCCAAAACCCTAGAATAGATGAGTTCATCTGATAGCAGTGAAACGAAGAGTATTATGTCGAAGTTGGGACAAAGAACAAGCCTCTTTCGAAACCTTAATGGATGAAGGAATCTGATTTCCTCCCTTCCACTCACTTCTCATGAATTTCATTATGTTTGGGCAATATATTTTTTTGATTTTAGATTAATGGAGAATGAAAAAAATGTCAAATTGGTTTCCTCCATTATTAAAGCGACTTTGAGGTGATGATTTTTTTTTATTGTAGATTATCAATTTCAATATACTGTCAGTTTTATTAAATGTTTAGTGTCAGGTATTAGATTAATATTGCCAAGCATTAGATTAGTATTGTCAGGTATTAGATTGTCAAGTATTAGATTGTCAGGATTAAAAAATTTTAGTCAAGAATAAGATTATTTTTATCATAAATAAGATAATTTTAGCCAGGAATAAGATTATTTTTATCATTAATAAGATAATTTTAGTCAGGAATAAGATAATTTTAGTAAGGAATAGGATAATTTTTATAAGGAATAAGACCATTTTAGTCAGGAATTAGAATATTATTGTTAGGTATAAGAATATTAGTGTTATGTATTACAATATTATTGTCAGATATAAAAATATTAGTGCCATGTATAAGAATATTATTGTCAGGTATTGAAATATTAGTGTCATGTATTAAATATTAATGTCATGTATTAGAATATTATTGTCAGATATTAAAATATTAGTGTCATGTATAAGAATATTATTGTCTGGTTTCAAAAAAAAAGAATATTATTGTCAGGTGTTACAATATTACTGTCACAGTGTCATGTATTTGGTGTTGCGGGCCTCGCGTTCGGATTTAGTTAGCAAGTGAGTCTGGTTTCACACAAAACCTTTTAGAGAAAAATTCAACTTTAATGAATAGCATGAAGTTAACATGCTTCTACATGTAGTCATGTACCTCCAATGATGAATATCCGAAGTGTCACTTTATTAGTAGATGGTGTGACAAAATTGACGCCACTAATCTAATTTTAGGGTTGTAACTTGTTACTTGTACACCATATATGCATGAGTGCGGTTTGTTGTGAATCTGGTGATAAATAATGAGATTACCCTTCTATTGTACTTTATTTATTGGAAATTTTGAAAATTACCACCTTTTGTTATGTCTATTTTAGCAATTATCACCTTCTATTTTTTTTTTGGGAAAATTATCACCTTCTATTTTCAAAAACATCAAAAGTTACCACCTTCTTGCCTCCCAACTATCACATGACGTCATTTTGGGCTCATTCTTTCCCTTTCCTCCCTATTTCCCTCACGTTTTTCATTCATAACTCAATTCTCATCCCCCTTCACTTTTTTCCCCCAAACAATAAAAAAACACTTCAATTCACTCCTCCAAATCAAAATTGACGAACAATTATTGGTGGTTTAAGGGGATAAAAGTGAAAGGGGAGATGAGAATCCACATAGGAATGAGAAATGTGAGGGAAATAGGGAGGGAAGGGAAGAAATGGGCCAAAAATGACGTCACGTGATAGTTGGGGGGTAAGAAGGTGGTAACTTTTGATTTTTTGAAAATAGAAGGTGGTAATTAAAAAAAAAAAAAGGTGATAATTGCTAAAATGGACATAACAAAAGGTAGTAATTGTCAAAATTTCCTTATTTATTCTTTACTCGTAATAACTAATAAGGTGGTGTTTGACTGACTTGGAAAATGAGTTCCCATAAAAAATTATATTTTCCTATTTCATGGCCTCATGGGAAGTAATTTCCTTGTCTATTTCCTAGGAATTAACTTAAGTTTGTTTTGTCGGTAATGTAGGAACTTTGATTTCCTAGAAATTTATTTAAGTAACAAATTTGGAGAAATAAATAAAAAGATTAAATTATTAGTAATAATAATGCAAGTAGACCCCACAATAATCAGGGTAATTGTGACTTACCAAGAGGGTCTTATAAGTGAATTCCCCAAGTTTGATGGGAAAAATTGAAACTTCCCTTGGAATTTCCTTTTCACCTGCTTTGATAAATTTGTGCCAACCAAAAAACATATGTTATATCTATTTCCTAGAAAATAGAATTTTTCATTTTTTTTTTACCTCCGACCAAACAAAACCAGTAGATTAAATACGTAGATATTTTTGCCTCAAAAAAAAAAAAAATAGATATTTTTGTAAAATTAAAGTTTATTTTTTTAACTCATATATTTATTTATTTTTTTTGAGGAAATTTTTTAACTCATATATTAATACACACAATTATTTATTTATTTTTAAAGAAAAAATGAAGAGTACATGAATACTTAATAAAATGAAAGTATGATACATTAAATTAACGCAAAGTCAAAGCACTACAAATAAAAAAAAAGTACACCTCGTCTAATAAAGATACCTCTTCTGTCCTTCAGTTTATAGTTTCTCTTTTTATTTTTTCACATGATTTAATAAATGGGAGGACAAAGTCAATTAATTACATAAAAAAAATGAAAAGTATAATTAGAGAGAGAAATTGAAAAAAAAATTACAAGACAATTGAAAAATTCAATGGTAATTTAGAAAATTCAATTAAAAAGGTTAAAATAAATGAGGGTATAATAGTTTTTATATACTATTTAAAAATAGGAATAGAAATAACATTTTAAGCCTCCAAAATAGAAAAATAAGAGATACTCCCTCAATCCCTAAATTACATTCCTCTTTCTAGCATTTATTACTCACATAATAGAGAAAAGGAGGAATGTAATTTAGGGACGGAGGGAGTATACTACCTCCGGTCCAAATTACTCACAACTTTGGGGTATTATTTGTGAGATATAAATATTCCAAAGTTACGAGTAATTTGGACCAGAGGTAATATTATAAGACAGATAGAGTACAAATTTAATACGGACCCAAACTTGAGTACATTAAAAGTACCATACAAGGAGTCAAGGACTAAATCCTCTCAAATATTGCATACTCCTTTATTATTGTCTAGTAAAGTAAACTTTAGAGACATTTTAGATTACATTATCTGAACAATATTGAGTTCCATAGAACAAAATTAAAAATTGCTTAATACATGTTGAAAACAAAACGTACAAAAAAAATTACTAACTTATGCTTAAATTATTCGTCTTACAAACGCTTGCAAGGAGGAAGTGGAGTATCACAAAGACCAATGTTCCCCGAAAATGCAGAAGCAGGAAAAATTGATTTGTGGGGTGGAATTCTTCCACTAAGTTGATTGTTAGAAAGATCAAGAACTTCAAGTCTTTCTATATTCAATACCTTTGCTGGAATACTTCCACTCAACTTATTATGATCAAGTTTCAAATTATATAATCTAGAGAGATTACTTATAGAATTTGGTATAGGCCCAATGAGTTTATTATTATCAAGTTTAATTGTAATCGACTGGCTAAGTTGACCTATTGAATCAGGTATTTTCCCTCCAATTTGGTTATATGACAATTCTATGAATTGAAGGTTTTTCATTTTCCCAATATTAGTTAGAATCTCACCAGATATAGAATTTCGGGTCAGGTCAAGATTGGTGAGTGACATTATGTTTACGATGGAAGATGGAATTGGGCCTGTGATATTGTTTTCAGATAAAGAAATCTCGAATATAGAAACAAGGCCGTCAATCGAAGAAGGAATAGGCCCATTTAATTTGTTTTTGTTGAGATGTAAGTTAATTAATTTGGAGAGTTTACCTATAGAAGAAGGTAATGATTGAGTGAGTCTGTTGTTGTCAAGATCTAAATACATTAATTTGGAGAGTTGGCCTATGGAATCAGGTATCTTTCCTGAAATACGATTGTATGACATGTACACGTATGTGAGATTCTTAAGTTTGCCAATATTACTTGGAATCGAACCAGAAAATGAATTATTTCGAAGAGAGAGTGTTTCAAGTGATAATAGATTTTCGATGGTTGAGGGTATTGAGCCGGTGAAATCATTTTGGTCAAGATTTAATGATTCGAGTGAGTTCATTGATTGGAAAAGATTAGAGGGTATGGCGCCAGAGAGCCTGTTTTGGCCGAGGTCAAGAGTTCTTAAATGACGGAGGTTTGCAAATGATGTAGGTATTGAACCACTAAGAATGTTGGAAGCTAAAGAAAGGTAGGTTAACTGTGACAATTGGCCTAATTGTGGTGGGATTTGACCTCTTAACCCGGCCGGGTTATCAAGGTAATTTTGTTGAAAATGATGTAGGTTGAGGACTTGAAGAGAGGTAAGATTACCTAAGAAAGGGGATATTGTACCTTTTACGAAGATAGAGATATCGGAATCCATTGGATTTGAAGGACGAAATGGAGATATCTCAATTACCCTTCCGGTGGCATTGTCACACTTTACAAAATTCCAAGACGTACAACAATTGGTCTTTGTGTTCCATGTAAGTAGTTGCCCGCTACTATCGGACTCGATCCTCCGCTTGAAATCAAGTAGAGCTTCTTTATCTATGGGATTGCATGATTTTACCAAAGTAGAACTTAAGATGATAGTATTGGCCAAGATTATGAGGAAAATGAGGGTAAGATGGTTTTTCTTAAAGGTTTCCATATTTGGAGAAAAGTGAGTTGTGTTTTAAGTTGCTCAGGATAAGGGAAATATATAATTGTGGATCTCTATATATAGAGTTTGTAGAGACTTCTTTATTTAGGTTTAAACCACCTTGTTTCGAAGCAGGATCTTGCAATTGTGGGAGTTGACATATTTGACTACAATATTGTTTTACTTTAATAATTTGTTCAAAGTTGTTGAAAACTAGATACTGTAGATGCCTCTAAAAAAAAGATATTGTGGATGTCTAGATTGAGTACATCATATTTGTATTTGTACTTTGATATGAAGAAGAATTGATCTTACTCGTAATAATTTAAGACATGTAATACTACCTCTGTTTCATATTATTTGCAACAATTTGACATAAAATAGAGAGAAAAAATGTTTAATTATTGCAAATAATATAAATCGGAGGTAGTAAATAATTCAATATTTATGGTGGACTTAGGGCTTGTTCTCATACGTTGAAATTCAGTTCAGTTCAGTTTAGTTAATGTCTTATGATATTGCTAATGATATAAAGCCAAATTTCATTCTTTTAAGCTCTTATTACAACGACGATAATAATAATAATAATAATAATAATAATAATAATAATAATAATAATAATAATAATAATAATAATAATAATAATAATAATAATAATAATAATCCATTGCTCCAAGAGTTATCGCTGTGTGTTGTCCTATCGGTTGGGTGTTCCATCGTTCTCTATCTCGACGTTGTGCTCTGCTTATTCGAGGGTTTTTGCTGGAGATATTTTCGGTGATCACGCGGTGTCTTATGCTGGTATTGTGGGTATTAAACATCGGCATAATGTTGTTCGGGATATCCTTGTTGATGTTTGCTATCGTTTTGGGATTTCAGCGAGAAAAGAGGTTGACATTGGGTTGGCTGGAGGGAACGACGAGGCCCTCAGACCCGCAGATGTGTTACTTTATTCATGGGATCGTGGTCGCGATGTCTGTGTTGATTTCACAGGGTCTTCTCCTTTGACACAGTCAGGGTTATCTGACTTCATTCTTGGGCGGGTTGTGGCTGATGCAGCTCATCGGAAGCGGGTTAAGTATGAAGCTCGATGTCAGGCGATTGGATATGGTTTCATTCCCTTCTCCTTTTCTTCGCTTGGGGAATTAGAGAAAGAGGTTGTTGCGTTACTGAAGCGGATTCAGAGGTTCTCGACGACGCAAGACATTGGAGCTCGTGCTGCAGCTTATATCTTCACTAAGGTAGGATTTGCAATAGCTAGAGAGTGGGGGCCCAAATTGTATCTCGGCTTCCCACTAATTTATTGTAGGTTGTATGACTTTTGTTTTTGAGATAATAATAATAATAATAATAATAATAATAATAATAATAATAATAATAATAATAATAATAATAATAATAATAATAATAATAATAATAATAATAATAATAATAATAATAATAATAATAATAATAATAATAATACAATTCATTGTTCAAATGGTTCTATTGTTTTGATACACATTTCTATTGTTAAACTCATTGAGAAAATTAGAGTACTACACAACTTAAACTAATTTTCATAATCGGTTAGTTCTTTGTCTTCTTCTTGTCCACCAAGCTCCTCCATTATCTCGTCATTACTCTGAACTGACTCCCATATCTGATCAGTTATTTCTTGCCGTACAATATCCATATCGGATTTTCTGTTATGATCGTACATAGTATAATCTTCTCTTCGCTCCATGACTTCAACTTGGTGCGTGAATGGAATCCCTAGTTCATGTAAACGAATAAAATTGTGTAGAGTACAACAAGCAACGATTATTTGCAACTGAAAACGTAATTTTATTTTTTATTTTTTATTTTTTTTTCTTAAAAATTTAAACAACAAACTGTTTTGTGTTCTGTCATAATACTATTTTATTTTTAAATTATATATTATATGTGTTTAAAATGTTTTGGGGTTTCATGTTTATAATATATTTTCCATAAATATTATAATTATAAAGTATATTTTTCATAAATATTTTAATATGTACATATGTATATACACATATGTATAGTAATAAATAATCAAAGATCACTAATCCCTAGTTAAAAATCACTAATTACTAAGTTCAGTTCAGTTCTATTCAGTTGATTTCAGTCAATGAGAACAGGCCCTCAGAGCATCTTTAACAATGAACAAATAAAATTATTTGTGTTACTATTGAAATAAAATAATGTAAAAAAATTATGGAATGATGAATAGTGGCATGAACAAATGTGAATAGTTTGGAAAACCAAACCATTTGTGAAAATTATTTGTCTGACAAAACTTACTTAAATTGATTATTTTAATAATAATGTTAGGGTTTGGTGAGTCCGACTCACCGCGGAAACAAACCCAAAACTAAGACCGCACTCGCAATAAATAAAACCATAATCATAAATAAATTAATCACAAGATTAAAATAAGATAATTACCTTTGGAGCGTGCTTCGCCCAAACGGAAGGGGCTCTTACTTCAAAAGCAAGACTCGAAATTATGACGGCTTCCAACGATAGTCCACCCACAACTCGACCACCGAAAATGGTCATATGCCTTGGGGTTAGCAAAGCCCGACCAAAACCCGAGTGATTAATGAGTTCAAAGGTTTTCACAATGGTGATGCCTTTTCCAACTCTCACTCAAGCGATTTTCCCAATACCCCAACTTGGGTATTTATAGGAAAAATAAGAGAGTGAAAAGCTCTCCCATCAATGTGGGAGAATTTGATTTTTCCATTTTATTTTAAAGCTAAAATAAAATTAATAATTAAACTAAAAATAAATCAACAAGTGGCAAGCTCATGTGAGAGGTTAGGTGAGAACCATTTGGAGGAGGGGGGACCAAACTTGCTCTCCACTATATCCCTCACCTTGCGCCACTTGGCAACTCCCACTTGGGCACCAAGGCACCCAAGTGGGCTTCCAATTTTGCTGCTGCCCTTCTCTCGGCCCAGCCATCCCCGCAACACAAATGCGGACTGCTGCTCGCATTCTCTCGACCAGCACCCATGCACTTGCGTGCGGGCTGCTGCTGCCGAGAGCTAATGCTAGCATGCCGCACACCTAGTGCGGGCTGCTAGCTGCAGCATGCTAGCACCCCACGCACTAAGTGCAGGCTGCTTGCTCGGCTATACCCCCTAGCACTCGGTGTTCCGATGCTAGGGGTATTTTGTCTTTGTTGATTTATTATTATTTTCATGTCTCGTCTTTTACCTTTTTCAACTCGAATTCCGACGTTCGGTTTCGACGCTCTAAGCCCGAATTCCCAATGTCTAAATATTAATTACTCGGTTGACTTATTAATTAATTCATAATTAATTCATCACTTCGGTTCGTTAGATGCTTGGGTGTGACCCGAAGGGTTCAGTCAAGATTAAGCTGTAATATTAATTATGCATTAATATTACTGATCAGAAGCGGCCTCTACCCAGGCATTCCGATCACTTGACCTTACTGAATATATTAGCTTTCTAATAATTTTGTACCCACTAACGGAATAGTACACTTGTTCGAAGGACACCATTCCTTTCAATCTCCCACTTGTCCTTTCGGAAAGGTGCGCATTTAGTGTACAACCTTTTTCCTATGTCGCTTAATGTCTCTTCATGAACTATAAGGTAAGATTATTTCGTCATCCTTATTAGGTCCAGAAGTGTTTCTCGATTCCGAGTCTGACTGTCAATAAACAGATGATTTCTAAAGTCCATCCGAGCACGCCCATGCATTTTACAGTCTCGCTCTACGAGAGGCCTTGTATACAACAAAGACATCTTCCCTATTTTAGTAGGTGGACATTCCCAGTCTTGTAATATAGCTCCTTTTACTGAGAGGACCTAGCCGCCCGAGTGTTGCTGTTATAATTCCCTATTGCGGGAGACGTTTGACAACATCAAAGCGGACTAGTACTCAAACAAGAGAACTCACAATACTCATGGTGGAGGAAATAGGTTCCGGTAGCCATAATGAGAAGAATACTTATGACGATTTTTAATCTCTTAAAGTATTCTCATAGGTCGATCAAGTATGGTTCTAAACCAATACCTGTGCAAATGATTTATGACAATCATGTCCTCGTAGCACAAGAAACGGTGCTATAAATCAAACTACACACTAATCTCAATTGGTCATTAATCGTCCATCGTTGAAATGACCTCGATTAGGGATAATTTTCGATTATAATATTCAACATTCACTTAATAGGTGTTTCCTTACCAAGACTGGTCTTGATACCCTAGTTTGAATATTCCAAGAATCAAATGGAATCATTATTTAATTCTAAACCACAATTAAATAGCAAACGGAGTGATAAAATTGCATGAAATTTTAAATTACTCCAAAACATGAATGGTTCATCTTATGATAAATGTTTTTCCGAATGTTTTAAGAGTATCACTCTTATAAATCATCTAATAAATCACACCCATATCTAATATGCTTGATTTCTTTCATGCAATTGTGAATGTTGTCGTTCACTTATTGCATAGATTTAGTTATAACTACTTTGCTAATCTTAGCATCTTCGTTACTGATCACTTTCATAATAAGATGATAAAATTTTAGAGTGTCATGGATTATATGTGATTTAGGATTTATTTTCCAAGTGATGGCTCTCACTCATTTTCAGGATTGAAACCTTCAACTTGACAACCTACAATCATTAACGTTCAGCAACGAACTTTCCATAGAACATCTTTTTTATTATCGCCATTAAGGCAATAATATTCTCAACATATATTTTAGTAGACTTCTTGATAATGTTTTGCTTGGGTTTTATTCCAAACGGCTCACAATGATTTGGGATACCCTAATCACTTGTGATCATGGAAATTTTACTTAAATTCCTGCACATTACACATGGATCCACGTCCATGTTACCATTCTCAAGCCACAACTCATTTTAAGCTCATGGTTATAAACGGCCTCCTTGTTAAGGATCTAATCCTTGTTAAGGCTTGTGCTTGCAACATCAATTCTCAAATTGTATTTGTTTCCACAAG